AAAAGGATATAGACTGTACAGTTTCACTTATGTGGGATTTTTTTGTGTGTGTGGCATTCTGAAAAAGGCAAATTTACAGGAGGAAAAAGCAGATCAGTGGTTACCAAGTATAAAGTAACAAAAAGAGATTGATTACAAATGGGCACTAAGAAATATTCTGGGATGATGGAAATATCTTTATGTCTTGATTGTGATAAATGGTTATATGACTGTACTCCTCTGTCAAAACTCAAAAGAACTGGTTGAGGACAGTAGCATTTGCTTGTGGTCCCAGCTACTCAGGAGGCTATGACAGAAGGACAGTTTGAGCAGAGGAGTTTAAGGCCAGACTGGGCAACATAAAATGAAAAACAAGGCTAGGAATGTAGCTCAGTGGTAGAGGACACCTCAGTACCAGCACAGGGGAAAGAGAGAGAGAAAGGGAAGGAGGGAGAGGGGGAGGGAGGGAGGAGTGTGGAGAAGGAAGGGGGAGGGAAAGAGAGGGGAGGAAAGGGGAGGGCAGGAAAGGAAGGGGAGGGGAGGAACATGGAGGGGAGGGGAGCAAAAGGAAAAAATAGAACTATCATCTAAAAAGTAAGTTTTACTAAATGTAAATCATGTCTCAATAAATTTGACTTGAAAGGAAGTCAAGCAGTATATTTTCAACATAAAATAAATCTTTGAAGCTAAGTGACAACTTGGGTCCTATAGCAAATAAAACCTGTGCCCTAATGCTTCATTGAGGGTTGCAGTCCCAGGAAACCAAGAGGGAGGGAGGTGGCAGGTGAAGGGCCCTGAGCACCTGTGGCCTCTGAGGAGCAAGCAGCGGGCTGTTGTTCACCCAGGATCTCTACCAAGAGGCCATATGAAACAATCAACTGGAAAGAAAAAAAGGAGGTAATGTAACCTCCCATCATTCATCCACCAAAGCTCGCCAATGGCGTGAGCGCCCCACTTTCCTGGACAGCCATACCCAGCCCCTACCCACAGTTTCTGGAGAAGCCAGATGCTTCAACAAGTTCGCTGGAATCAAACCTCTGCAACAGAGCTGCCGCAGCTCCCACCTGGCCACCCAGCAGAGGTCTTGCCCCAAGATCGGCCCCCACCCCGGGAAAGCAGGAGCCCATCAGTGGCGAAGGAGATGAATCCTGGGAACAGAGGCCTGGCCTACAGATGCTGTCCCCAGAGAAGTGTGACAAGCAGCCCAGTGGCCAGGTCCCAGGCAGGAAAGGCCAGGAATTCCACAAGGTGGGTCTCGAAAAGGGGGCTATACTAGTGCACCATCTGAACCAAAAGAGTAATTTCATTTTTAAGACTAAGAGAGGAAGCTTCAAGCAAACAGTTTCTACCTACTAAATCTGTTTATGTGGTGATCTGATTCTTATGTAATGAACAAGTTCAGATCAGTGAGGTTAAGTTCTGTGTCAGATCAAGATATGCGTGGGAAGTTTCAAACAGAAAACAAATTCCGCACATGGAAAAATGTCATCCTCTGAACAGATACCGCAGGGCCAGGTCAGGGTCCACTCTTAACAGCACAGATATAGCCCTTCAGAAAATAATCAATTCTAGGTAAAATTCCAACTTGTACACTCATTCTAACCTTGCGCTCGAAGACACCAGTGTAGAAGTGTTATACTTCAGGGGCACAGAAAGACTCAATTCCGTAACTCAGAATAATGATATGGCATGTATTAAAAATTAGTAAATTGACCATGCCCTTTTACATGTATTATCTTATTTAATACTTATACCTACCCATGCAAGTCAGATAAATTACTGCCCCATTATAGATGAGGACCAAAGCATACACATTATTTCTTTTTCTTTTTCTCTCTTTTCTTTTTTTCTTTTTTTTTTTTTTTTTTTTTTTTCCACAGTACTAGTACTGGGGATCAAACTTGGAGGCTTTGTGCTTTATTTTATTTTATTTTATTTCAATTCATTTTTTTGTGGTACCAGGGATTGAACTTAGGGCCTTACGCTTGCCAGGCAAGTGCTTATTCTACTGAGCCATCTTCCCAGCCCTCCGGGGCCTTGTGCTTGCTAGGCAGGCACTTATGCCGCTGAGCTATACCCCTGGCCTCAGAATCACTATTTCTGAAACTATATATATCTTATGAGTTCACTAGTTATTTTCTAAGCACAAACTGGTCTGACAAATAATTTTTCTAGTACATTAACTGACTTACTTAAAAAATATTACCAAGGTTTTACAGTTCAATGAAGTTAATTATAGACTCATTCTGCCATATTCATTTTTAAAGAATAAAATATATGAATTCTGATATTTCTCACAAAAATAGAAGAGGTCAATTTAATTACAAGACAGCTCCTTCACACAGATCTTTATGTGATAGATGGATAAACCACACACTATATAATGAGGTCTGTAAGAAGTGACTTCTTGGTTTGTTTGAGAGAGAACTTGACATAGTTGGGAGGAACTGGATTCTGGCATCAGACCAACCAGACCCAGATGCTGGCTCTGCCAGATACTACACAGCAGTAGGTAGTCTGTATAAGTCTGATTCCTTCATCTGTAAAAATCTCAAAAAGATGCTTTATAACTCAGAGTTTTCAGAAGGTAAAATGAGATAATGTATGTAAAGTGCCTAGCAGATTGTTCTTCCTACAAAGTTTGCATAGTGAAAGAAACCGAAAGAGAACACAGTAAATGGATTATGTGCAAAAGAGATGCTGCAACCAGGTCAGGAACTCAGCTCCAAAGCCACCTGATCGCACCAAAGCCAGCAAGGGGACGAAAACAATAAAATTCCCGTATGTGCATGGGTGCTGATGGGAGGTTAATAATTATATAGTTAATTAGTGTTTCATAGAGAATGTTCATGTGGACACTAAAACAATAATCCTATTCTGGCTTTTTTCCATACCTGTTATGGTTTCTATCTAGATGTCCCTCAGAGCCTCACATACACACAGATAGGGCCTTGGGAGGAAACTGGATCGTGGGCATGTGAAACGCATCACGGGATGAGTCCACTGATGAGTTTACAGCTCACTGTGATCTTCCGAGGAGGAGCCTGGTCTGAGGTGGAGGCTCACTGGGGGCATGGCCTAGAAGTGTCTGTCTCCCTCCCCCTCCATGGCCCCCCTTCCCCTCTCTGTCTCTCTCTCTGTCTCTCTCCCTGTCTCTCTCTCCCTCTCCCCTCCCCTGCTCCCTCCCTCTGCTTCCTGCCTTCCATGCTATGAGCAATTCTCCTCTGCAAAGGCCCTCTGCCTTGGAGCAGGAGCTAGAGGGCAAAGGGTTGTTGTTTTTGAATGGATATAGGGTTTCAGATTTGCCAGATGAAAAGTTTTAAAGAAACCTCTACAAACTGTGACACAAAATGAACCTTTCCTCCTTTAAACTGTTGGGGTCATTTTCGCTTCAACAGCACATCTACTAAAATTGGAGTGATACAGAGATTAGCAGGGCACAAGGACAACAAGCAAATTCGTGAAACATTCTATATTTTTACAACATTTAAAAAAAACTGTTAGTGTCAGGTATAGTATCTCAGCGGTGAGAAAGTAACTAAGGTAATGCCTGAGCAGCACCCCAAACACATCAATACAGAAAAAAGAAAGGTTAAAATAACACAGGTCGCCTCTCCCATAATGCCTAATTGTCCTTTTCCTCTACCAACATCTAGAGCCTCAGGAAAAGCAAACCTCACCTTAGAAGTCATACGATGGGGCCAGGGAGATAGCTCAGTAGAATAAGTGCTTGCTCAGTAGAATAAGCACAGGGTCCTGAGTTCAATCTGCAGTACCACAGAAGTCACCCGATGATCAAAGCCATAGGACAGGATGGGTCATAGCAATTAAGAGGTGGCTTGCAGGTATAGTATTTAAACCATAAATCTTTTCTTAAAAGAAAAATATGAAAATGTATAGCTCATCAGGGCTAAGCAAAGTCCCATGGCCCACCACAGGCAGCACCATCTACACCTCCCCATCCTACCTTCTCAGTGTGGCTCCCAAACGGTACTCCAAAAGCCACCAAAAATGTCCTACTCTTTAATTCTAGAGTTGTAGAAAATGAAGGTCAGAAGAGTGAGGGGACAACCTCACAAAACTAGAGGATGAAAGGGGCAAAAAAAGGGGGGGTTAGTTTCTGGAACTAGAAACTAACCAGCTTTCTAATGGTCAGTCATACTCTTTTCAGCAATGTACACTATCTTCCTGACTTACACAGACAAAAAAAGATAAAAAAGAAAATATACTGTGTTTCAAAAGACTGCCTCATCACAGGAAATAAAAATCATAAAAATGGAACGTTGGTGAGCACTAAAGTCTGGCACAGACAGCTTGAGCTCTACTAATCTGCATTTGAACAAAACACTGCCTTCATCTATGGCTGACTACAGCTACCAAAACGGTTTCTGAACATTAAAAGAAATTAAGCCAAAAATAATAATAAAGAATTCACAGTGAATGCCTAAAGAGCCACATTTCCAGCTATATTGCATATGCATGCACACAATCACACTTTGGGGGAAGTTAAAGCCACATTAATGAGACTGAAAGAATGGAAAACGGGACTCAATAGCCAACAAAATTAACTACAGTGACTAATGGATGAATTATAGTCTCATGATGCTGGGCATAATTTAGCATTCTGCTCACAGAACCCCAGCTTAGATCATCTGGTTGTACTTCAAAGCGTCTATATTTAAATATCAAAGGTCAAGTCAGGCATTTCCTTCTTAGGCCTGAATGCTGTAGAGTCCGAGGTTCATATCAACACACGTAAATGATTTTCTAAAGTACCATAATTCCTCTACTTGAGATACTAGTGATATAGTTAGGCACCTCAAAATAAGTTTCCCACCAGGCCTGAGTCAATGGCCAGACAGCCCAGAAGTATCCTGAACCTGCGAGACCTTCCCTACGTAGTCTTAAATTTTCAGTTCATAAAAGGGGAATTATAGTACATTCAGGAATAAATGAACTGGTGCTGTGGCACAGATTATTTCCTGGCTTTATCTGTACCATGTTTCTTAATATAATCTCACCTCCTCCAGTTTAAACACCTTTCCGACATACGGCTGGATGCGCCCCTGGTGGTAATACTGAAGAGCTGAGTTCAGGCTCTTGGAAAACACTGGAAAGTTCTGGAACTGGTATCGACCCCAGTACAGGCCCATGGCAGAGATGTTCTTCAGGAGCAGCAGGTTGGCAGGCACAGAAGCAATATTTCCTCCAGCAAATCCTATCACCACAATCCTGCCCTCCCACGCCAGGCTAAGGGGCAAGAAGAAAAGCAAAGAAAATTATGAGACATGGTAGACAGTGAAATCCACTACTATTAGGATGGATTATCCACTACTAATAGGATGACTACTATTAAAAAATGCAGGACATAAAATAACAAATTTACGTGAAGATATAAGAAACTAAAGCCCTTCTACCACTGGTGCAACTTCTATGGAAAACAGTTATGAAGGTTCCTCCAAATTTTAATCATTTGCACATAATTCGTATCAACATTGAGAACAGCCAAAAGGAAGCAGGTGAACCTCAGTGAATGAATAGATACATAGAGTGGAATACAATCCAGCCTTAACAAGGAAATCATGTCACGTGCTAGAACATGGATATTCTTTAGGATATCATGCCAAGTGAAAGAAGCCAGACACCAAAAGAAAAGAACTCTATGATTTCATTTACATGCGGTATTTAAAGTAATTAATTCATAGAAATAGCAAGTAGAATGGTGCTTCCCAAGGGCTGCAGGAGCTAGAGGGCAAAGGGTTATTGTTTTTGAATGGATATAGGGTTTCAGATTTGCCAGACAAAAAGTTTTAAAGATTTATTCCACAACAATGTGAATGTACTTAACATACTCAACTACACACATAAAAGAGGTTACAGCGGTAAATTTTATATGCTTTTAACCACAATAAAAGGGAAAATATTTTCAAAGTGCTTTACATTAATTCATAGAGGCAGAAAGTAGAAGAGTGATCACAAGGGACTGGGAAAAGGGGAAAGATGCAGTGACTGTTTAATGGGTAAGGAGTTTTTTGTGGGAGACAATTATACAACGTTGTATAATGTAGAATGAGCATATTAAATGGTGCTCCATGGCACACACATAAATAGTTAATATATTATATGGCATATACTTTTTCCCACAATTGGTTTTAAAAAGCAACGTGTACTAAACCCACAGCTTGGAACTTTTATTGACCTTAAGTATACCATCCTTTAGTACACTATGTTCCTTAGGAGAAAATTTTTAAAGTAAGCCATGAGCACAGTATTAACACAACAGAGGAACCAGCCAGTTTTATAAGAGAACCCACTTCAGAATCAAAGACTTTGTGGAGGGAAATTGGATAGAAACAAGTGCCACTGGATATTGGACATAAACAAGTACATGCCTGGGGCCGGGGAGATGGCTCAGTGGCATAAGCACTTCCCTGGCAAGCGCAAGGGCCTGAGTTCAATCCCGGGTTCCACCAAAAAACAAACCAAGTATGTGCCTGTTTACAGCAAAGTGACTAAGTTTAAAGATTTTGAATTTAGGCAGCAGAAATAAGAAGACAGATCCCGGGATGAAAGATCACTGCTTTCCACAGACTTACTTTACAACTCCTTTAAGTTCCAATACTTCTTTATAGAAATATGAATAATATACAAAAATTCATAAGTTTTCTATAGCCCATTATGAAAAGAATAACATAGTGCATACATAATGAGTTATAAAAACAACTTTTATAAACATCTATGATATAAATACAAAATTGGTTGCATCTGGTGGGGGGGGCCTTTCTTCTTCCTAAGGGAAATAAGATGCTATTTGCAAAACTCAATTGATCCAGAAGGGAAAAAGAGAAGAGTGAGATCACTCGATCAGTATACCCCTTCTTTGCCTCTGAGCACAGTGCCAGGCACTGTACAGTGACAATCAAACCCATCACCTGCCTGCTTCCCAGCCCAGGGGCTACCGAAGCACCTGCATTCCCTCTGTTGGGAGGCTGTTCTCTCTGCTTCTGTTTCTTCTGCTTTAAACTAAGATAAACCATACAATGATGCCTGCCAGCGTGTGATGAGAAATGAAACCAATACTCTCAGAGTGTGCCAGGATCCCTGGTTGAAAACAGAAGAACTGATAGAATATAACAATCCCACTAAATCCCAGTGATATATTTTTTTTAATAAAACAAGTCAAGGAAATACACCACTGGCTGCTTCAGAAATCAGTAAAATCAGCAGAGCCTGTACCTTGGTGCAGTGAGCTGGGGAATGAGGAACAGGCACCCCAGTAACTCTAGCACCTGAACAAGGAGCTCAAGAATCCCCCACATCCATGTATATAAAGAAGTTAGTGGAGGCCGGCATAGCTGAATTTAACACATGTATAATTTCTAAAGCACTTGCCATTGCCAGCTAAAGTCTGCAGTCATTTTTTGGGTATTTTCCAGCTGGATATTTTGTTTTTCCTATATTTAAGCATTTCCTGATTTTCTCTGCTTCTATTCCTTGTCACACACCCACTCAGCTATTCTCGTTAGTGCTGATGCTGACAGGAGAAGTGAACAGCAGAGATGAGAGAGAAGCAAGGCCCGGAGGAAGTCAGAGGTGTCAGAAGGTTGGGCACAGCCCTGACCCTAGCCCACCATGGACAGACCGGGACACGCACCTGCGGAGGGCCTCCAGGAAGACGTCTCCTCCAACCATGTCGATGGCCACATTCACTCCACCGCTGCCCACCAGCTGCTTCACGGCCTCCTTCAGGCTGCCCTGGCTGTAGTTCACACTGAATTGCGCACCCCTCTGCATCGCCAGCTTGCACTTCTCATCACTTCCAGCTACAGCTATTACCTGAATAAACAACACAAGGTTTTAGTCTAGGACAGACTTCGAGAGGGTTCACCCCACCTATCCAGCCTCCAGCCAAAGTGCTACTTGAGGAATCCAATATGAGCTTGTGGCCCAAGCATCAGCCTCAATCCCACGCACCAGGCTCAACTCACAGACATCCCACTGGTCCCTCCACACCCTACTGGCTATAAGGCTCCTATCTCTAGAAATTCTGGAACTCTAACTGGTCTAGCTAGGAGACAGCTCAAGAGACAGTGCAGAAGTACCATTTCCTGAGCACTCACTATAAGTCAAGGAATAAGGATACAAGCTGAACATTAAGCTTAGTCAAGAAAACAAGACACAGCAGGATAATGGGACTCCACCGGTACAGAAAAGATCAATGTCCAGCTCATCTAAACCATGACCCAGGAGAAGACATGGAGGGCAGCCCACTTATCACCATCTTCACTGCCTCTGCTACCCAAGTGAACAGTGCAGAGGACAACCCTGCCTTCACCATCACTACCACTCTGTGACCCAGGTGAAGAGCCCCAGAAGGCACAGAAAATGGCCCTTCCTCTCACTGCTGCCACAACTAAAGTGAACCTTGTGGGAAGGCCCAGTGAGCAGAGGGAATGCCAGTGACACAGGAGGGTCCCAACTACAGTGCGCAGGATGGACAGACAGGACTAGTGGCACGAAAAGTTCAAAGCAACAATAACAATACCATGAACAACTAATTTGAAGACAACAATACACAATATAGAAACTATTGTTGAATTTCTATCATCTTGTTTAGTGAAATTCTGTACCATTTCTAACGGCTTTTTTTATTCTCTTTTTTAAAAAAATACTCCAAAAAAAAAACAGTAACAATGTGAGCCAACAGGTGGTAAGTTAGGTGAATCAGCACTGTACATGAAGACAAAGACACATGGAATAGAAGCACATGGGCAGGCCAGCCTTGTTCTCTCTTTTAGTTGTGGTTGTTTTTTATGTATTTCTCTTTTTTCTTTTCCTTTTCTCTATTCTTTTTTTTGTTCCCCTCTTTCCTAAATAGCTGGGGAGAACTCCAGCCACAGAAAACTAATCCTGGGGCTAGGAGATGGCTCAGTGGAATAAGTGCTTCCCTGGCAAGCACAAGGGCCTGAGTTCAATCCCCAGTTCCACAAAAAAAAAAAAAAAAAAAAAAAAAAAAAAAAACTAATGCTATCTGACCAACTCAGAGACCAAGTTCAGACAACGCTTTGCTTATTCCTTCACTCAGTTGGTCTTCTTCTCTCTCCTCTAGTCTCCCAAAATGTGCCTCACCATAATTTGTCCACTAGCCTTGCTTCTACTTTCTTTTTAGTTATCACTGTTTTACCCACTGTCCTTAAATCTCCCCACCATAGGACAAAACCACTCTACCAAGGGGAAACACTCTGCATACAAGCTCCTAATTTACAATAAGTTCAGTTGTATAATTGTAGATTTTGCTCCTCTGGTTTAAGGTATAAAATTAATACCTACCACGGTTTGTCAGTTTCTACACTGTGCTTGATGCTATTGTTCTTGATAATTGTATTTCTATAGCTTGGAACAACTGGTGTAACCAGTTATTCTCCCTTTTGTAACAATATTGGGAAGCTCTGAGATAATAACTTCACCACAGCCCAAAAACAAGAAAATGGAGAGTGAACCAGACAGATAGCAACATTTCACTCTTTATTGACTGGGAAGGCAGGATTTTGGATCAGACATAAGCCAAGAACCTCCTACACACAGAAGATATCCCTGAGCAACAGACATTTCCTAGAGAGGACTTGATACTAGTGATATAGTTACCTACTACAAAAACTTGCAAGGATCAACACAGAAAACAAAACAAAAAATTTTGAAATAGAAAATGACAAGATGCAGAAGCAGGATGCAATCTCAGGCCTCCAGTACACCCACAACAAGTCTGGGAGACAATAACATAGAGGAAAATGGAAGATACACACCTGAAATTTCTGAAATGAGAGCACATGAAGTAAAGAAATAAATCTATGAGACTACAGAGAAAAGCAGATCAGAAATAATCTATCAGTTAAAAAAACAACTGTTAACATTCATAAAGGAATTTCTCAATAACTCTAGAATAGAGATAGATTATAAAAACAGATGATGAAAGGAAAAGGATGGGAACTGTGAACAATCAACATAGGCTATATGAAATATATCTCTAGGACTTGTGGTCATTTTTGTCTCTGTCTCATAGAGATTGAACCCAGTCCCAGAGTTTGCCTAAGGAGGAGCTTAGTCCACTGAGTTGTCTCAGTGGCCCTCTTTTTTTATGTATTTAGTACAGGGTCTACAGGGACTCTATGAGAAATCTAGAGAAGATTTAACTCCAATACTTCTCAAACTCTGTAATGAAATTGAAAGGGAAGCAATTTTCCTAACTTATTACTGGAAGCAAGTATTACCCTGACACAAAAATCAGAGAAAGACCCAACCAAAAAGAGAACTGCAGGCCAATCTCCCTAATGAACAGAGATACAAAAATCCTCACTAAAATACTAGCAAACAGAATAGAGCAAATTATCAAGATTATACACCATCACCAAGTGGGATTCATCACAGGGATGTAGGGATGGTTTAAAGTACACAAATAAATAAACATAATAAATCATATCGATGAAGCCAAAGACAAAAACCACATGATAAAATCAATATATTCAAAAGAAGATTTTAACAAAGTCTAATACTTATTCATGATTAAAAACCCTACAGAAAATCAGAATACACACTTTACCTCAATCTGATAAAAGCCATCTATGACAAACCAATAGGTGGTTTGTCAACATTGTATTAAATAGATAAAAACTGAAAGTTTTCACTCTAAAATCAGGAACAACACAAGAATGTCCACTGTAACAACTCCTATTCAATACAATTCTGGAAATATCAGCCAGAGAAATTAGGCAAGAGAGAGAAATAAAAGGAATAAGGGAAGAAACAAGTTAAATTATCATTATTTGCAGGTGACATGATACTTTACATAGAGGACCCCAAAAACTCCACCAAAAGACTTGTAGATTTAACAAGTAAATGCAGTAGTATAACAGACTACAAAGTCAATACTCAAAAATCAATAGCATTCCTGTACACAAACAACAAACTCACTGACAAAGAAATTAGGAAAGAAATATCCTGCATGATAGCACCCAAAAAAATTGAAATACTTAGTAGGAATCAATCTAACAAAGGAAATAAAAGATCTATATGTTGAAAATTACATCACTCTTAAAAAAGGAGATCAAAGAAGACATCAGAAAGTGGAAAGATATACCTTCTTCCTGGATAGGAAGAACCAACACTGTGAAAATGGCCATACTCTCAAAACTGCTATACAGATTTAATGCAATCCCAATCAAAATGCCATTAGCACACCTCACAGGTCTAGAGAGCACATTCCTAAAATTCGTTTGGAAACAGAAGAGACCTAGAATAGCAAAAGCATTCCTGAGCAACAAAGGTAAGCAGGAGGCATCGCAATCCCTAATTTGAAATTATACTGCAAAGCTACTGTGATAAAATTAGCATGGTACTGGCACAAAAACAGACTTGATCACTGAAACAGATTAGAAGATGCAGACACAACTACAAACACATTCAGCCACCATATCTTTGACAATGGAGCCAAACATGTTCACTAGAAGAAAGATAGCCTCTTTAACAAATGGTGCTAGACAAACTGCCTTCCCACATGCCAAAGACTAAAACTAGACCCATCTCTACCACCATGGATCAAAGACCTAAATTTTTTTTTATTTTTTTTCAAAGTTTTATTGATAAACAGATAGCAATGAGACAGTTTCAAATCAAATCGGAAGTACAGTTTCAACAAATAATACACTGCATATATTCTTCTTAGTGGTTAATTGCTGTACAAGATGCAGACTTGTGATCCTCTTTACAAACACCATTAAAGACCTAAATATTAAAACAGAAACACTAAATCTACCAGAAGAGGAAGGAGCTAGAAATCTTGACAAATAGGTGTAGGCACAGAGTTCATAAACAAATATCAAGCTGCATGGAAATACTTTCAAAAATCAACAACTGGGATCTCATCTTATTGAAAATTTGTTGCACATCAAAAGAAATCACCAACAGAGTAAGACGAAAACCCACAGAGTGGGAAAAAATTCTAGACAACTTTCCCTCAGACAAGAGCCTCTATCTAGAACATATAAAGAATTGAGTAAAATCAGACTCCCCAAAATTCAAAAACCCAGTCCAAAAATGGGCATCTGAGGTGAATATACACTTCTCAGATGAAGAAATACAAATGGCAAAGAAATATATGAAAAAATGGTTAACATCACTGGTTACTTGAATAATTTAAATTACAACAATACTTAGATTCTATCTCACCCCACAAAACATGGCTATCATCAAGAAGTCAACCAATAACAAATGCTGGAGGAGCAGTGAGGAATAAGGACCCCTTCTCCACTGTTGGTGGGAGTGTAGACAGGTACAACTACCATGGAAATCAGTATGAGGAATCCTCAAAACTCTATGATTTGAGGTTCTGTTCAACCTCAAATGCCAGATATTCCCCTTCTGGATATCTTCTAGAATAATTTAAGACATTATACCTCAGTGATACACATGCACCCATATTTATAGCAGCACAATTTGTAAAAGCTACACCTTGAAAACAACCCAAATGACCATCAGCCAAGGAAGGGATAAAAAAGATGGGGCATTTTTACACATTGGAGTATACTATTCAGTTATATTGAAGAACAAACTAGGGCTTTTATAGATTAAAGGACATCACTAGATATTATACTCATAAATGAAATAAATTAGACTTGCATATGTAGACATCATATTGTCTCCCTAGTATAGGAAACTGAAAGAATAAATAAGATCCAAAAAGTCCAATGGATATTGTGAAAGGTAAAGAAACTACCCAAAAGCACAGAACAACTAGGATGAGGTAAAGGAGGAAAGAAGGGGAAAAAAGATAGATAGACAGA